AAGGTTAAAGAGGCATAAAATAAATACATTTAATCATGTTGTGTTAATAAAAGCCCACATTACACCGGTTACTGCAGCCTGCAATCTCCTTCACTTGACCCGTCGTAAAAGTGTTGCCAAACCCTGTTTGTGATGCTTAATAATTGCTTCATATTGCAATTAAAAAGTCGCAGAAGCAACAAAAACACGACCTCTGACCTGAGATTTAGTTTCTTTGTGAGGAATGTTCGCTTGTTTTCGCAATCTGTCCCGTCTCACATGAATAAGTAATGTGTAAACAGAAGAAAACACGCATTCAGAAGACTGTTCCCACACATAAATGAGGATATTATTCTGGCTGTGAGAGCGTGTGCACCTCAGAGCAGCGTGCACGCCGTTTAGCCGCAAAGAAGTCGGATTTCAGGAGCGAAAATTACAGCCAGGAGCCAAATTTGAACCCCACACATGCGAGACTCGAGCGGTGTGAATATCCGCCTGCTGTTCTGGTCGGCGCGGCGGCGACAAAGAGACAAAAGCAGCGGGTGAAGTGGACGATAAATCGGAGGGTGTGGCGATTAATAAAGACTCTCATCTGTCAGCATCACTGGTCTCTGAACAGCTGTGCCGATCACCGTGGCACGCGATGACAAGACTGAGGAACTGGCTTCTCAATGAAACTGCTGTCTGGACGCCGCAAAGCTGCAGCCGGAGACAGATGGCGAGCGCTTTCATTCTAACAATGACAGGAAATGTGGCTGTTTGGATAGGTGGCCAATCGGACAACTTTTTCTTTCTTAAATCTAATTCTTGAATCTACAGAACACTGGAGCTACAACCGACCGGTCTGGCGAATGTTGGGCCTTGGTGGAGATAAACACAACGGGCAGCTGTACATGAGGCCACGGCGCTCCATCGCGGCTCTCCTCGAATTAGAAGTTGCAGATTTGTCAGCATATGTGTTCTGGCTGCAGGGATTTAATGAAGTGAGGAATCTGGTCCTGCCACGCCATATGTAGTCGTTAATTTACAGATCAGTGCAGACGTATACGCTGCAGCTCGGTTTAAACGCGGACCGATTAATTAAAACGCTTTATTTACATTCAGGGCGTCGCTCCGTCGTCGCCGTGAATTTGCTTGCGAGTGCTGCTTGGTTCGCTTAATAAAGCCATCAGACCGGCAGCGGATCGCCGCCGGGTCAGAAACAGACACGGCTCCCACAGTTTTATTTTCCAACGCCGTGTCAGAACAGATAGACTTTCCGGCAGCAAAGCAACCAACTCGCTGCCTCGTTTGAACGAAGCGACCGCCTCTCCTCCCACCTGTGAACTGTGCACTCTGCGCTCAGCTACGAAACACCACAAAGACAGACAAAGCAAATTTAGGTCAGGAAAACACCAGTCTGACTCACCGAGCCTCTGGGTGATCGCCTGCCTTTGGACACATACTTAATGCAGCATTTTCATCCACAACAAATACAACAACCTCTAAGCTTCATGGGGCAAAATCACACGTTTAAATGAAGATTCGGATCGGCACTGCTCGGCTCCTTCAGTGAATGGCTCTGAAGACACAGAAAGGAAACGTTCACAACATTTGCTGTCGAACAGGAACGTTCTTGCATTTTTACTCAATGAGCAAAAAAAAAGTGAAGAGAGAGACGGACTTGCAGCAAAGGGCCATGGGCGGGATTTGAACCCACGGCCGCTGCATCAGGGACCGTAGACCTGTACATGGGTCACCAGCTCAACCAGGTGAGCTACAGCGGCGGCCAACTTCTATTATTTTGAAATGAGATTTGTAGAATGAGGTGGTTTTGATGAAATTCACAACGTTCAGCACACATTTGGTTGATTTTTACCAATGGAACTGCACCGATGAGTAGTTTAAGGACCGTTGGAAACTTGTAAATCTGGCAATTCTTTTTGTTTTTGCAGTTTCTAGCTCTAAAGTTTAAAAGATAGCACGCCTTTGGGCTTCAGAGGAAGAATACATATGGACTAAAGGGTGAATGTTCCACCCAGGGGGCAGTTGCTGTCCATTAGCATAACCGTGCTAGCCAAGTTAGCTTATGCAGTGTAGCTTGGGAGTGTACGGTGTAAGGTGAACACAAATGAAAACCCAAACATGGAGTCTTTTGGCTTGATTTAGACACTGTGGGCTAAAAATCACAACCTCCAGTTATCAAAGAATCGTCCTGTTAATCTCACCGCACACCGACTCACAGCTACGTAGCTTGTAGCTCGCCAGCTTTTTGTCTGTGTGTCCACCATTCAACCCAAACAGCTTCCTGTCACACTGATTTCACCACGGCTACGTTCTGGGCTCAGTGACACCCGAGATGATTTGTTTGAAGACGAACCAAACGAGCCAGAGCACATTTCTTCACCACCACTACGGGTAGAAGCCTTTGGCCACATAACTAATGCAGCTTTCTCCTCTGCTTCCCATATCCAACAACAACAACAACCTTCAGGGTTAAAACTGCTTTGACAAAGATGTGAGTCGTGAAATGAGGCTGGCTCGAAAGATCTACGAAGAAATGTTCACAGCAGGGACATTCTTGCACAGTTATGAGGAAAAAAAGACTAATTTTCTTTTACTTTTCTGCCAAAACAAGTTCCCTTTATCCAGTTTTGGTGGGGCACCACTGCTGCATCCTGGGCCAAGTGCAGCCCAACATGAGTGTGACCGGAAATGCTAATCAGGTGCAGTCAGACCATTCCTCACTGATGACAGCACGATGGAAGGAGGCACAAAATCAGGAAAGTGCCGACTGTAGCTGTGACTGTGCTGCTCATTGGACAATAAATTAAAGACAAAAAGACGTCTTGCGAGCCAACTTCTGCTGCAAATATGACAAACATGGTAGAAACAGCAACAGAAATCTTCTCTTTCTGCCAGAAAAATAACTCAACATAAGATCCGTAAATGTCTCCAGCTGATGTTCACCAGCCATGTGTTTTTATAATATAGAACTTTTTACTCGACGTTTCTCTCTAATGACGGCGCCGGCGCCAAAGTTTCAGCGACCGGAAAAAAAATGTGGGAAATTTATGTCATTTAATTAGCGGAGATGGAACCGTCGACGCTACAGCGGTCCAATTTCCCCTTTTACTCATCCTAACCTGTGCGTGGAGATGATTTCCTTCCAGTGTCACCGCCATACATGTCACACACCAAAGTTTTTAGTTAGGGGCTTAGAAAGGAAGCAAATTTATGCCGTTTAATTAGCGGGGATGGAACGCTCTCCTCGACTGCCGCCCAGTTAAGATGATGAGACGTGTGGCGAGAAAAGAAAAAAAAAAAACACGCATAATGCTGTTTAAATATCTGATTTCTGATTCACGAGCGGGAGGAAGTACTTACACTGAACCTCCAGGTACTTCTGTGCTTGGAAGTCCTTGACTGCGGGGTGGTCGACGATGCAGACCACCGGTATGCCGTCGTCGTCCCTGCTGACGGTGAACGTCAGCCGGCTGGTGACCGTGTACATCTTGTCGTAGGTCAGCTCAACTTTGGGTTTACCTGGAGAAAAAAAATAAAACAACAAGCTCACTTAAATGCAGCAAACTGGGAATTTAGTTAATGCAGAAATCGTCCAAACTGAATTATTGTCTGATTTTTAAACTTTCTGATGGTCCTTGAACTCCTCATCTGTTGGGAAACGTCACCACAACTTATCTTAAAGTTTAATGACACTCAGAAAGGCAAGAAAAAGGCAAATGTCCTTGATGCAAATATATTAATCCATTTACAATCCCACTGATGCCATTAAAAACCAACAACTGTGGTTGCACTTTCACAGTAAATATTCAAGAGAGGAACATTAACTCAAAATGTGAGATGATCAAACGATTAAGTTGCTGTGGGTGAAAACTAATTACAGCAGTAAATAAAAGAGTTCATCAAAATCAACATATTCTGCAAGTCTTGTTTAAATTCGTCAACAATAAAGCATTAACCACATCCTGTAAAAAAACTAAAACTTGTGCGACTCGGGGTTAAATAATTCATTATAGTTCATCCTGTGGACACCAAAACCTGATGAGAGGTTTGAAAAGTTTTTAAAAATCACAGTTTATCAGAAACTGTAAACAAACAGATTTGTGAGATTCTGGACGCGTTTTTGAATTCTCTCTACTTTTAGTCCCGGTCGAGCTGCTTCCACTGAGGCGCAGGACTTTAGATTACAGTAAAAAATAAAAATAAAAATAAAGAAAACGGGGCTGCAAGGTGGCACAGTTGGTAGCACTGTTGCCTTGCAGCAAGAAGGTTGCCGGTTCGCGTCCCGGTGGAGGCACCGGAATCTTTCTGCGTGGAGTCTCCATGTTCTCCCCGTGCAGCGTGGGTTCTCTCCGGGTTCTCCGGCTTCCTCCCACAGTCCAAAAACATGTTGAGGTTAATTGGTGATTGTAAATTGTCCGTAGGTGTGAATGTGAGTGTGCTTGGTTGTCTGTCTCTAAGTGTAGCCCTGTGATAGACTGGTTACCTGTCCAGGTGAACCTGTCTTCACCCTGAGTCAGCTGGGATAGACTCCAGCCCCCCATGACCCTAGTGAGGATTGAGCGGTGTATAGATAATGGATGGATAAAGAAAACAACACGAGCATCACAGGGTTAAAATATGAATCAGCCTCAAGTCCATAAAGCTGAACTCACTCGACGAAGTCCGGCTCCCAGCTCAAAGATAAAGAACAAAATTCCTGTGTGAGCTTCGCTAAGCTAATTATCTGAGCTATCCATCCATCCATCGCTCATCCATAAGCACTTATCCACAGTCGCAGGGGTCTGCAGCCTTTCTCAGCTCGCAGCAGGCGACAGGTGGAGAACACACACACACACACACACACACACACACACACACAAACACACACAAACACACACACACACACACACACACACACACACACACACAAACAAACAGCACACCTACAGTCAGTTTAGAGGTTCCTGTTTACCCAAAATATTTGATGAGGGGGAGAGAGCTCCATCCAGCTGCTGGGTTTAAACCAGAACTTCTCCAGCTGCACCGACGCCACGCTTCCCATCAAGGAGTTTAAACCCAGCAGGCTGCTGTCCTGATCATTTAAATGATTCCTTATAGTTTGCCGGTTGGTTGGTTTCCTGCTCGAGGGTTCCATGGATTTTTTTATTTTTTATTTTTTTTAAGGGTTATACAGTAAAATTATGTAATGAAAAGAAAATGAACCGAGCTCCCGAAGGTTTAGGGATGATGTAGAAAATATCAATAATGTCTGTGTGCTTTTACTCCAAAAGCTCTTTTAGAAAACATTATCAAAAGTTAACGTTTTGGATTCCGTCCTGACTTTTGTGCAAACTCTATTTTATGCACGCTCCGTTCCCCTCGGACTACTTTGTGAACAACTTGTTTTGCCGAACGGTCAGCCCACAAAGTTTTACTTTACAAAATAACGAGGAGGAAATCTTTGCACTCAAGGCTCCCAGAATAAAAAAAGGTTTAAAATATGGAAGGCAGACAAAGACAACCGCTGTGTAGCTGTGAAGGAGCCGGGCGGGGGAGTCTTTCTTCCCCCCGGCGTCGCTAAACGTGGACGTGAGGAGGGCGTCCTTGAGAACGGTCAGGTAAGGTGAATCAGCTAAAAAGTGCCTGCTGTCAGGGGCTCCTGTACGACCGCCGGCCTCTCATTAGGCTTTATGAAGCAGATTTATCGCGTGGCAACCTTCTGCGCCGCGTTGTCAGACGAGAAGCTCGCAAAGAATCCCTCCTCTGATTAGTGGCTGCTTTGTAATATCACACAAACAATATGTTCCCAGACACAATGAAGAGGATAACCTCATCACACAAAACAAAAAAACAAGAGGGATGGAGGCAGGCGCTGCCGAGTCGCAAAGCAAGATTGATTATTTTTTATCCCTCTGTCCTACTTCCGCACGAGTGTGTCTGCGTTCCCATCAATAAAACAAATACTTGGAAAGAAAAAAGAAAAAGTCTGCTGGTAAAAAAACAGGAGTTAATGTGAACAGCTGCAAGCGTCAGTTCATATTTTAGCTGCACTAAGTGCACATTCTCCTGCGCTGCAGCTCAGCCACAGGGTTGACGCCGTCACTGTGTTGACAGCTGTCTTTTCTGGATTGCTGGGGAACGCTAACCCGTGTGATGTGGCTGGTGTAAAGAAACAGGCTGTCACGAATAAACACCACCAGAGGCTTCAGATGCACCTGAAACGGGAACCGGATGGGGTCTGCTCGAATCAAAAGCGCCTTTTAAGATGCGTGAAAACAAGAGATGTCTTCATCCGCTGCCGCTCTACGCCTCGAGAATCCATTTTGCGATAAATAAAATACTCATCCACGCTGGATTTGAAAAGGTATGTAAGAAAAAGCTATAATTAGCAGGAATTGTGAAGTGATTAATGAGCTTCTATCCTCCTTTTTCTACCATCTGTTCCTCAAGAAACCTTCCGTTTGAAGCGTATCGCCCTCTTCCAGTCAATAATAATAATCAATAATAATAAGTGTCTGCAGGCTAAATCAGCCATAAGGCAGATAATATAGGGTTTCTGCTGAGGACTGACCGGCTGCTTCCTTCTTGCTCGGGTTAATTCATCATCGGGAAGCAGCCGGCTAACTAACCAGCCGTTTGTGCCGCAAACAAAAGCAGCTTCTGCCGTGCAGGAACTGGCTGGAGCCCATTTCTGCAGGAAGGCAGAGCGGCCGCACAAGACGGGGCATCCGAGCGCCATCAAATATTAATGCACAGCAGGAACGCCAACAAACAACGTGCTTCCAAACACGTGTGGAGGCCCGAGCCCTGGAAGCAGCACTTTGGTTGGACGTTGTGATGCGAGAACTGTTTCCTCACATCCTGTCGTAGGACTGGTCCATCCCAGCTACTGTATGTGTCAGATCTTGTGATGTGGAAGAGTTGGTGTGTTTGTCGCCCTGCAGGCCGGATGTCCAGCTGGTTTCTCATCCTGGCTTCCTGTAGGCCCGCTGACCTGGAAGTGGCGACGCAGCACATCGACGTGTGCTCAGACCATCGGCGTGCTGAAAACTCGGGTTTGACGACAAACTACTGTTGAGCTAACCAGGTCTGCATCTAAGTGTCGAGCAAATCTGAAGCAAACCTTTGAAATGCTGCAAGAAATCAAAAAAAGACAAAAGCTTGTTGCTGTGAACTGCTGCAATCTGAACAATAACATCATTTACATCATGTCCATGTGACATGCCATGTTTACATTTTTTGAATCATTGCCAGTCTTATAACATCTAGTCTAGTCTTATTCAGCGTTCTGATTTGTATTCTCAGGCCTGTATTGTTCTTATATCTGACTGCTTTCCTACCTGGAGCTGCGTTTCTCACGATAAATAATTTTGCTTTCTGAGGAACATCTGGCACAAAAGTTTACTTTGGGATTATTAAAGTTTTGTCTCATCTCAAATAGTATAGACGACATTACACATGGCTATAATAAAGTACAGTATAAAGTATAATATACTGTAATATATTATTATAGCATAA